TAATGTTTTTTGTACTTGGTCTTGTTTTATTTTGCATGTGAGAGTGTGTATGTTTGTGTATTGTTTCCATTGATGTGGTTGTTGGCACGTTTTTTGTCTTTTGGGTTTTGGTTTATTATTCCTTTCTCTCTTGATCTGACAGAGTCAACTGTTCCCAGAAGACCCAGCCACTTTCCCACCTCCAACAGCAGTAACTACTGGGCAAAGACCACCACCTCTTGAATTACCAACTGAACAACAAATGGAAACAAATACAAAACAGCACAACATTTCAGAGACAATCTCATTGCACTCCAAAAAGCAGGATAGAATGGGGTGAACAAGTGACCCGTAGACAGAGCTCAAAGGCTTTCCAGATGAGAAAGGGCATTAGAACTGCAAGAAAAAGAATTCAGAAGGTGATTCTTACATCATTTCAATGGATAAAGAAAAAGACCAGTATAAAATATTTTTTAGTTGTAAGAGCTTAGAAAAACACTTCAAGAGCCATGTAGCAAAATAAATAAAAGCTAGAAATCATACAAAAACCGCAAATATAAGTCCTGAAAATTAATACTATGATATAAAAAATAGATAACACTTCGGGGGAAAAAAGCAGTAAGATTCTGATCCAATGGAAAATAGTTGGTGAGCTTGTAGGAAAATCACTTTATACAAATCTAAGAAAAATACATAAACAACAAATATACAAAGGTGCTTGACACATGGATGGATTTGATAAGAGCTGTATGAGCCCCACTAAAATGATTTTTTAAATTTTTAAGAAAAATTATTAAATAATACCTGACAAAAAACAATAACATATATATGGTTATTTTATTTTAAATATTTTTATTTAAAATTTACACTTAGTAAACTTGAATTCAATTTGTTTTTAAAAATACATAGAAAGAATAAACAAAGCCAAAGAAAGTCTACGAAGTATGTGGGACACTTGCAAGAGGAATACCATATGCCTGATAGGCATCCCAGAACAGGAGGAAACAATAAAACCACAGAGAAAACGGTCTAAGTGCTGCTGGAAGAAAACTTCATTAACACCATGAAAGAGAGGACAATAATCATACAAGGAGTTAAAGACCCCACACGGGAAAGACGCCAAAAGGAAATCATAGCGTCACCGCCCAGCTTTCCAATACCAAAGACAAGGAAAGAATCCTGAGGGCAATTTGGGGGGGAAAGAAGTCACCCCCTTGTGACTGCTTCTCTGATCAGTAAAGCATGCCGGAAGTGTGCTATATGGCTTTCGAGAGCAGTGACTAATATATTCACTTTTCTCCTACGTCCTTAAGGGAGGAGGAAACGGCTATTCTAACTATCCAATCCTGGTTTCCAGTAGGAACACATGGACGTGACGGTGGATGAGAAACGTGTAGCTGGGCTGGAATAAAAAGTCGAGGAGGGAGGTTGAGATAGTTACATTCGTGGCTTTGATTTTGAAAGAGGAGAAGTGTAGAGATAGAAGGGTAAAGAGATCGGACGCCTGTGTGAGAGCTTCCGAATCAGTCGAGTGTCACCGGATTAAAGTTCTTATGGATGAGTTCAGAAGGAAAGAAATAAGTGGCAGAGACATAAAAGGGAAGCCAGGCCTGCAGGGTGGGGGCTAGTGACACTGGGTGCCGCCTTACGGGCACTCCCTCCCTGGGCACTAAAGATGAATAAAGGTAAATGCGCTGAATGGTCTCAAAGATTTGACATGGGTGCTATTTTAGTCATATTGCTTGCTTTTTAAAATTATTATTATTTTTGCTTACTCTAAACGTAGTCTTATTGGCTTTTAGGAATGTGTAATTACCGGAACACTTTTGCGTACGCACTGCCACATCTTGCCCCTCCTCGCTTGCCAGACCCTATTCCCTGCGGGGCACATAGAGACCTTCGCCAGACCGGAGGGGCCCGAGGGCAGCTGGACGGC